ACGTTTGCTGGGTAAGCAAGAAATACTGAGTGGTGAGACGGAGCCCTGAATAAAGAATGCTCAGAAGGTTGTCTGTGATTTAATTGTAACTTATTAGAACCCCAAACAAGTGTCCAATCATCAGCAATACACAAATTAGCCAGTTATAAATTTGTTTAATTTAGACAGCTTGTTGTAGTCATTGTTCTAAGTTAGCCTCCGATTTTACAGTACATTAGCTAGCAAGATGTGAGACACTCCCCCAAAAAAATCTTGGCTAAAGTCAGCCTTCATGAATTATCGCAGCACTAGACGTCCTGCCAATAAAGCACTAATAATGTCTTTATGAAAGTGTCATGTTGAACAATGTGGTTATTTTGCACAACATCCAAATATAATATTAAAAGTAAGTGGTGCTAATAACTTACTAAACCATGTTTCTGTTGTTATAAAACAAACAAGCAACAAAACAGGGATTTATGCCAGACTGTGAGGAGCTCATAAATAGAATTGCAACTCCAAGGTTCACTGCCATTGGATAACACAGTTGGTAACATTTCACTTTTCTACATGGGAGACTGGGGGTGAAATCCCTGCTTCGGCAGTAAAGTTAGTGTTTTTGGCAGCCTTGTGAAAAACTCTAACCCTGAGTTTGGTATCCCCTGAAACATGATTACACCATTTCTCTTGATAAGACTGATCACAATATGCTGTAAATTAAATTAGGTTTAATCTGTGTTCATGATTTTCTCCCTTCATTTCAGCCCCTGGCCCCCAAAACCAGGCATGGTTCTTCACCCTGTAGAAGTCAATGAGAGGTCATTTTTATATCTTACTTTCTCCTTTCAGTGAAGAAACATACATTGGTAGAAATAAAGGTGCTGTGCAGGAACATTTTTCGTTCATCAAGGTTCAAACAATGTGAATGTTCCCTCAAAGCTACAACAGTGGTTTTATGGTCCAACTGTGTTTTTCCAGGTGAAAAGTTCATATTTGTACCTTTTCATAACCGAATGTTTTAAACAGAACAGTAAAATAAAAGCCTGGAGACGAGACGGGGTGTGTGGAGTCAGTACAGCTTAGAACATATCATTTCAGTGCATTATGTTTCAGTTATGTTCCCTGACTAAAGGTACTGAGATGTACCCTTAAGGTACCACCCCAGTGACAAGAGTGGCAGTTTACTACCTTCATTTCTGAGAATGTAGAACATTTGTTTTAGCAAACTGATGAAAGACTTTTTTGAGGAAACGCATTTGCATATTCCTTGGGTCTGATGTTCATAAGAGATTGTACAGTGTGGTATTGTATACATTTAAATCTACACAGCTTGAAATGAAAGGCAGAAATATCAGATATAAATATAAAAACTATATCATTGTTATACTCAGAGCAGTTTGCCGTCTACTATGAAAGTCTGATGTGAGTAGGTTTTTTTTTTTTGCGGTTTAACCAGTTCCAAAGGACTTAAATCATCGCTCTCAGTCTCAACACGTGTACTGAGATATTTTATAAGCTGCCAAATGCTTTAATAGCCAGGAGTCTTTGCCTATCTTGTTGACCCTTGGTCGCATTTACACATTTTGTACACATTTGACCTACTTCCTAATAAACTTCAGATGAGAAATGTTTGAAGACGTTACTCACTTTTTATAATTTAACAGGGCGAAATGAAGAAAAGTCTGATTTGTCTAATTTCCTGTTGTTTTCTAAACAATTAGCTAATGAGCTAAGCTGTTAGACATATAAAAAAACGTTCCTAATAAGCTCAGCTTACTGTAGGAATGGACTGTAACATCTGCGCTACAAGGAATTAACATACAATAGTTGGCTTGGTGCACACTTTCTGTCAGTGCTGTTGAGGAGCATGTCCAGAACGGAAATATAAATACATACACACCGATCAGGCCTAACAGTATGACCACCTCCTTGTTTCTATGCTCATTGTCCATTTTATCAGCTCCACTTACTAAATAGGTGCACTTTGTAGTTCTACAGTTACAGACTGTAGTCCATCTGTGTGTTAGTGTGTGTTGTGCTATTGCAAGTGGATCAGACACAGCAGTGCTGCTGGAGTTTTTAAACACTGTGTCCACTCACTGTCCACTCTATTAGACACTCCTACCTTGTCAGTCCACCTTGTAGATGTAAAGTCAGAGACGATAGCTCATCTGCTGCTCCACAGTTTGTGTTGGTCATCCTCTAGTCCTTCATCAATGGTCACAGGACGCTGCCCACAGGACGCTGTTGGCTGGATATTTTTGGTTGGTGGACTATTCTCAGTCCAGCAGTGACACTGAGGTGTTTAAGAACTCCAGCAGCACTGCTGTGTCTGATCCACTCAGTTTTGACTTGCTCTTTACATTATTGTTAAATTTCATGAAGAATGGACCCAACGTCCCAAAATGACTTGGAAAAAAGTCTGGTTCCATTGACTTACATTAAAAGTAAAGTAGGTTTTTTCCTTCTCCTGTAAAGTCACCATTTTGAAGATATGAGGTATTCTTCCGACAACGACAATATATATATAATAAAATTAGTACAGACGTGTGTATCTCTCATTCAGTATTTGTCAGGCCAGTTGCAATCCAAATCCAAAGTCCAGACTAACAGCAGCCCATTTTGAACTGCATTTATGACCCTATCGTTGGGCAAGTGTTTTAAGCAGCTCTCTTTGCAGCGTACAAGATGACAGCGGAGATAGCTCCCAGTTGACCTTAAATCTTAATCCGTGTTAAAATGTTGATGGTGATGAATGACGTTCTCTCAGACAGGGCCACAGAGGACACGGCTGGACACAGATGGAAGATGATTTCGGTTTTTTACTTTCTGTGTTTTTTACTTAACCTCCCTCTGGTCTCCCGTAGTTTTGGCTAGTGTTTTCGACAGCTTTGCATCGCAGGCCTCTACAGAGATGCTGGTTTATTAAGTGCAAGTAACATATGTTCAAAAACATGAAGTTTAAATTTGCAGTGGTCTGTGTGGTTGAAACTGTATACTGCATACAGATTAATCATGGTGAGAAGTGTAACCCTGAATGGAAACCGTAAACTAAATGTTGAATTAAACACTGCAAAGATATATCTTACAATAACATGAGAATAAGTGATATGTAACAATGAAGAATGACATTTCAGATATAAAAGCTTAAAAGAAGCAAGCATTTCATAGCATATGGAGAGATATATATCTCATATATAGCCTACAGTCATATGCAGACATTGGGCAGCCCTGATCAAATGACACGTTTTGTTGATTTTCTAAGTGAAAATAAATGAACACGTCCTCTACATAGAACACACTTCTGCACATTTTAATGCTCAATTACTGTTTATTTGCTGAATTTAACATGTTGGAAAAAATGAAACACAACATTGGCACCTGTGCAAAAGTAATGGCACATTTAAAATTTTAGGTTTTATTTCCCAACATGTTAAACTCAGCAAATAAATAGAAATTGGGCACTAAAATTGTTAGAAAAATACCATATTTAAACATGTTCTCTGTAGTGGATGTGTTAACTTATTTTCACTTAGAAAATTAACAAAACGAGAAATTCAAACTTTTGCATGACACTGTCGATCATCGCTGTCCGAACAAAACCTCATATCTCCAAAAATGTAACCTTACAGGTGAAGGAAAAGCTTTTTTTCACTTTCAATGTAATTTAATGTAACAAGATATTATTATAAGTCATTTTGGCTCATTTCTGTTGGTCCATTTGTCATGAAATTTTAACACAGTGAAAATGGCAGCTGGCATTTCAAATTGTGTTAAACAAATGTAGCTACGAAGTTCCCAAGTATGAGTAAGTAGACTGTTCATACCTGTGAAAATGAATCTAACAAAAGAAAACCTTGAATTAGTCCACAGTAAGCAGGGTAGGAGTAAAAGCACCATGAGTATTGCATGATAGGTGTAAACACTGGGCTTCCTCAAGGAAAAGTTTGGAAATGGTTAAGCTAACAAACACAAGATCTGTGTGTTGTTTATTTGTATTTATTCTAATGTTGTTGTTTTTTTAGCAAACACTTACTGCTCAGATAAATGGCTTTTGGGTCATTCTACAGAAACGTCCGCTTTTCTATCTCTCCATAGGAGTCATTGGTGTTACACATAATAAAGGTAACACAAGAGACATTTTTAATGAACAATGCATTTTACAAAATAGCTGCTACAGAGCATCAAACCACATGTTGTCAATCATGGAATATCCACTAAAATATGTCATTTAATCCATTTGTATTCTATTTTTCCACAATTACCTCAGAATAAAGTCGGTCACACCAGTGACTTCAGCTAAAAGCTTCATATGAAATCATGAGCTAAATGAGAAAATCTCTGATAACTGAAAGACACAGTGGACTCACCATGTGCTTTTCTTCATAGATCCTCAGAAAACAGGTAAAAGGAAGTCGAGTGATGTCATCAGTGTGACCTTTATTTCAAAATAAGAGATTTTTTGTTACACAGTAACACCAGTGACACGACTCCTGGGGACAACAACTTTCATTATATATTTTATAATATTTATTTGAAATTTGTTTTCTTTATGTCATTTAATTGATATATTCCACAAGCACAAGCACGTCTGTGGTGCTTGAAATTCTAAATAATTGATTTAAAAACCAATATTGCTAAATTGAGGCTCAAGAAGGTGTAATTGTTAAAAAAACGTATTGTTCTATTTTAAAATATAAATAAATTGTAACCCTAACACGTTTTCTAAGTGTAATATATCTGTAAACGCTAGGGACACAAAAATGGACGTTTCTGTAGAATGACCCTTTTCATACGTAAGACGTTTGTACAGTACTGCCCATTTGTTGTACTTTATTCATTTCTGCATTGCTACTGACAGTCTCATATTTGAAAAGGGGCCAGTTCTTATGTTCTTGTCCCTTATTTTGCAGATGTTCAGTGAACTAATCAAGATGTGAATCAAGATGTATGTAATGTCATGAATACAAATACACTCAGCACAGGAAGCGAGGAAATGTCAGAATAATGAGGAAGTGCCTTGGAATAAATTTCCATTGTTATTTTAACTGAAAAGTCCTCAAAGTATAGAGAATGTACAGTTTACTTTAATCAGCAACAGACGTCTTGTCAACATTTGATACCAGATTACTTAAAAAGCCTTGTGAAAGAATGGATCTGTGCTGATCAAATTATCAGCATACATATTTTCCAGACGTTTATTTATAACCGATCGGTATTTAACAGCAGCCTTTCAAACAATGCAGATGACAGCAAAGTCCATAAGTGATAAGTAAATGTGTTTTCAGTCTCACTGCCTGTCTGCTGAATCTTCACATTCCTGCAATCCTTAATGTACCGATGATTGATCCCTGTGGAACCCCAGTGGCTGTGGGAATGTTTCATGCCTTGATTTCCTGTTGTCTGTGGTTGAGTAAGTCTTAATCACACTGGAGCTTAGTGCATTCCTATGTGGCTGCTGTACACCACATCCACCCAGGTGCTCTGTGGGTGAAGCACCTTAAGGTGCACAGCATGGCGTGATTCATTGTGCAGGTGCATTTGTAAGTGAGCGCTAGCATGAGGACTTTCGGAGACCAATTATACTGAACATTTATGAGTGAACAACAAAAGTACAGTCAAAGGCACATTAGCAAAGCGTGAAGTTTTATAGGCATCGGCATCTGTGTGTGTTTTTACTCAAGTTCAATGACTAGTTTTCCCTCATCATCACTGCTACTTGAACTCTCCTCTTCCTCCAAGTAGCTGCCACCCAAATGGCACTGTGGTGCATTAGGCTCTGTGGGATTATGATGTGCAGTGGATGCACATATTGGATTAGAGTGCATGGCATTGCTGTTAGTTCGATTTGGACATAGGGGACTGGTGTGGATTGGGGTGGTATTTATTGTTCGATTGGAATCAGATGATATGTTGGGTTCATTCGGCACTTTAACTTTAGTTTTACCATATGGTTTGTGTTCTGACATTGGCCTCTGCTCTTGTGAGCCCCTTGAATGACTCTGTTGGGTTGCAGAGGTCTGTGTATCTTTTTGGACCTCCTTCTGAATGGCATTCACCAAGAGAGGATGAGCCAAGAGGTGTCCACATGTTGGGTGAAGATGTTTCGCATCACTTTGCCCAGTGGCTAACGATGTAAACCTCTCTTGGCATCCAAGAGGAACTCTTTCTGTCTCTTTTGCTTTGCTTTGGCCACTTAGTTTTGGAGTTCCCTTTACACTGCTGCTCTGTTGAACCTGCCACGAGTTGTCAAGATGAGTGCACTTCCTTTGATCAAGCAGTAGAGGGTCGTGTGAAAGGCTGGTTGCTCCACAGAGAGCTGGTGTAGCATTGTCTGAAATGGTAGACGTGTCAAGCTGTGCTGGCGATGATGTGTTGTGACAGGCATTAGTCACAGGCTGGGAAAGGTGTGGATGTGGTTTTGCTGCTGTCCGGTAGCCTTCGGGAAGATCTGTTGCGCCCTGGTTGGAATAGAGACATATGAAGTTACTGGTTGAGGAAAGTCATTGAATGCCTGAAAGTGAAATTAGCTTTTCCACTAAGTCGTCTTTAATTATTTAGGCTTTAATATCCTTAGAATTTCAATAATTCAAATAGTAAATTAGCTGTGCAAAAGTCCAGACCACTCTTCATTTGTTTAAATTGTTCTCGAAATGGCCATTAAGTACATTTAACAACTAAATCTATCAGCTTTTTCACTATTTTCTGTGTCCACTCTTTGCCTTTATTACAGCTTCCATTTTTTTCAGGGGACCTGGTTTCAGTTTCTCAAAGAAATCGCAAAAAACCTTGTATCTCCAAAATGGTAACTTTACAGGAGAAGGAAAAAACATGCTTTACTTTTAATGTAAGTCAATGGAACCAAGTCATTTTGGGCCGTTTTTTTAGATCTATTCTCCATGAAATTTGTACACAATGTAAAGGGCAACAGGTATTTTCAAATTAGGTCAAAAAATGAAAAACAACAAAAATGGAGATATAAGGTTTTCTTCCGACAAGGAGAGATATACAAGACATTTTTAACAACTAAATCTATCAGCTTGTTCACTATTAACTGTGCCCACTCTTTTCCTCTATTACAGCTTCCATTGTTTTTCAGGGGACCTGGTTTCAATTTCTTGAGGAAATCTGCAAGGATATTTTTCCTACACAGTTCAGTCTTAGAAGTTGGTTGCATTTTTCCACAATCCAGGTGATCCCAAACACATTCAATGATGAGATGTCTAAGGTGGATTGTCCATTGTTCTGAGACCACCAGCATCTTTGTTTAATTAGCAATTTTTATTCCTTCTGTCTACGTCTTTTTCTCAGTAATGGCTTCTTGACAGCTGCACTTCCTTTCAGACCCATGGCCTTAAAGGACCTGTGGATTTTACCAGATCTGAAGCAAGAGTGGAGCATGATTTTCTCTCGAATTAAGTACTGTTTATCTGATGCTGACAGATTTGGTGGTCTGCGGTTCTTGCACTTAGGTGTCCAGTTTTGAACGCTTGTCTTATGTCTCCTCTGAAAACTGAATAACAGTACTTAATGACTATTTTGACTGATAATTAAATAAAACAAGGGTGATCTTTAACTTGAGAGAGCACTGTGTAGTGAAAGGATGCTAGTAATTCCAGTATTTTAAATAGTAAAGAAAGTTTTTAAGAACGTTCAGAAGGACAAATTGCAAGAACGCTGTTGGAGGGAATACCATCACAACAGCTTTAATCACACCTGTCTAGTTTCCCCCCTCCCTTGCCTCCTCTCTCCTTTGACTCACCTCTCTTTTCACCTCTCTGGCATGGTCTTCCTGTTCCATGCAATTGTTGCCCACCATCTCCCCTTCTCCTCCTCCACTCTCAGGTTCCTGGGGGACCCACCCCCAGCTCCCTGTCCCAGCCGCCCTCTGGAGCGGTGAGCTTTGGAGGGTACCGCCCACCCGAGGCCCTGAGGGGAGAACAATAAATGAATACCAGTTGTTTTGGAGGGCTGAGAAGCCTTCCCCTGCTCGCAGAGCTCTGTAGCTGAAACCGGGTCTCGGCTTGTCCCACAGGTTCCCCGGGGTATTTGACTGTATGCGATCTCCAGAGATTGAATTCCAAGTATTGGAATTCTTTCACCTGGCTAGAGCTGAGACATGCAGAGGTATAATTAGCTTGCCGATTAAGATGAGGTGTTTTTTTTAACATGTCCTGCCTCAGAGACGAAAACCTAGTGCACAGCTGTAGCTGGCTGTTCAGTTTACACACCTTTGTTTACCTTAATATCGCCTAAACGAAGATTCAACCTGGTTTTCAAGCTGTTCAGTCTACTGGAACATATGGTTGCAAGAAAAAAAGATGAGACAAATTACGGAAAAAACATAGTGACAGCTTCGCTATGTGTACCCATACACCTATTAACATGTGGCCCAATATATTATGATGCAGCAGATACAGAAATAATTGTCTTGATGAAAAACAATTGGTCAGATCCTCCAGGGCGTGTTTGGTTTGGCTGAACTCTTGCGCATGCCTCTGCAGCGTTGCTCTGAGAGGAGGCTGCGTTTGGATTTCGGATCATGTGTCAGGTCGTCTGGAATGGAGACAGGCGTAAAATCCCCCTGACCCCAGGGTCTGTGCTTCACATGATCCTGGGGGGAACCATCTTCCTGGGGCCTCCGTTCACTCCCTGAAACTACTTGATCAATCAAAGCCACCTAGAACGGGGTAGTTAAGTGCAGCGTGGCCGCTGCGAAAATAAGGCCGCTCGTCACCGGTTTGGAGGAGCCTACAGAGGTCACCACTTGCTTTTACGCTGTCAAAGTCCTTCTCATATGCATGTTCAGATCCTTGGCATGGAGTGAAGAATGCTTTTACTGAGCAGGCTTATCAGCAAAGCGAGACATTTTGTTTATTCTGAGCCCTTCTGATGGACCTCTGACCTTTCCCGTATTTGTTACTGTGACTAATTTGTGTGGCCTGTGACCTATTGAAAGGGAATCTCTTTGGACTGCCACAGGGCACAATTCACACTATCCCACTATCAGGACTTAAAAGGATTAAATGTTTTTCTCCAAAACAAGGTGCTGATATTAAATGACTGTGAATGATCAGGAAAAAGCCAGGTCATTGTGAGGACACAGCAAAAAAGGTTATTGACACTATAAACTTCAGAATCTGACCACTTGGCCAAATATGTTGGAAAGACTGGTAAACTAAATGATTCGCCTGGGGTTTCAAGACAGGCTGTTTTGATATCTCTATTGTATCTTTCAAATATTCTGGAATGCTCATCACTAGAGGTGAATTTTGCATATGTCCAGCTCTGCATACTTCCACGCTGTGGCATGTAGATGAACTGAGGTCTGAAGCCTTGTTGTGGCATTTCTATTGTATGGGAAAGAACATTAATACTGGAATAGTTAAGAAACAAACAATGTTTTTGCCTTACAATCGAAACCTGGCAGATTCTCCTGTGTGAAGGAGAGCATAGGATTTTATTGAAATGGGCAAAAATTAAGGTCGGAAATAAGAAAACATTTAAGTTGTACCAAAAACTCTGGCACATTTATTATATCCAGCCAATGTTATAGAAAGTGGTCCCCTGGGCAAGTTATGCTTTTCAGCATTCTTACACTTTCCTGGTGGTTTCATGACTAGTTGGTGCGATAACACCACAAGTGTACAAATACTTCATTTGTTGACTCTGATTTCTTACCCCAATGAAAATGCTAATGAAGTTATACCAAATCAGTGTGCCATGCCTAAAGGTTTCTGAAAGGTTCAGCAGATATTGCCAGTGTTTATGCAACTGCACAATGTAATCCAGTATAAATCTTTTTGGAGTAATATATTTGAGCAATCCGCTGATGAAAGTTTAAAATGTCAACAGCCTTGTCAGAAAGCCTGTGAGCTACACCGGTCAGGCATAACATTATGACCACCTCCTTGTTTCTACGCTCATTGTCCAATTTATCAGCTCCACTTACTATATAGGTGCACTTTGTAGTTCTACAGTTACAGACTGTAGTCCATCTGTTTCTCTGCACACTTTGTTAGCCCCCTTTTACCCTGTTCTTCCGTGGTCAGGACCCCCATGGACCCTCACAGAGCAGGTACTATTTGGGTGGTGGATCATTCTCAGCACTGCAGTAACACTGACGTGGTGGTGTGTGTTGTGCTGGTCTGAGTGGATCAGACACAGCAGTGCTGCTGGAGTTTTTAAACACTGTGTCCACTCACTGTCCACTCTATTAGACACTCATACCTTGTCAGTCCACCTTGTCGATGTAAAGTCAGAGACGATAGCTCATCTGCTGCTGCACAGTTTGTGTTGGTCATCCTCTAGTCCTTCATCAGTGGTCACAGGACGCTGCCCACAGGACGCTGTTGGCTGGATATTTTTGGCTGGTGGACTATTCTCAGTCCAGCAGTGACACTGAGGTGTTTAAAAACTCCAGCAGCACTGCTGTGTCTGATCCACTCAGACCAGCGCAACACACACTAACACACCACCACCACGTCAGTGTTACTGCAGTGCTGAGAATGATCCACCACCCAAATAGTACCTGCTCTGTGAGGGTCCATGGGGGTCCTGAGCACTGAAGAACAGGGTAAAAGGGGGCTAACAAAGTATGCAGAGAAACAGATGGACTACATTCTGTAACTGTAGAACTACAAAGTGCACCTATATAGTAAGTGGAGCTGATTAAATGGACAATGAGCGTAGAAACAAGGAGGTGGTCATAATGTTATGCCTGATCAGTGTTTAAGACAGGCCAAAAAATCAGTGGAAAGTAAAATTCCTTCATGTTACAGGAAGAGAATTGTTATGCAATAAATGTACTTTATGTACAAGTTACCATTGACTGATTACCTGCAGATGCCTATTCTTTTTTTAAGCTGAGAGCTTAAAAAAGCTTAAAGACTTTCTTTTTTATGAGAACAAAACATTGTAAAATCCAAAAGGTGGAAATACATGTTTGTTGGAACACTGTAAAATCTGAATTAATTCATTTTGAATTTAATTTCCTTTGGGATTTGCATCAGAATATATGTTATGTTTTTCTGTGTTTCATGATATTCATCACTGTAGAGACAACATTGTTGGGTATTGGTTGTGTACTTGAGAGCGCTCGTGAAATTATTATCCACTGTCTCCACCTTGTGGTCATGTACAGTTATGTTCATTTTACATTTGGTGACTGGACTCATCTTACATTTGCCAAAAAATAGCATTAAGCAATAAATATATAAGCATTTTTACATTTTCCTTGTAAGTTACTTAAAGAGGACTGGAACTGACTTTTCAAAATATCTGTGTAATTAAGTTATTAAATGAGAATTAAACAAAGTCATTTGAAATGTCCCATTCTAGAGAGACTTAACAAGTTAGAATTGTTTACAGTGGTGTTGATAGGAACCAGACATCTGGGGAGTTTAATGCCTCAAAAAGCTACCTCACAGAACGTTATTACACAAAATGAGATAAGCTTATAGCCTAATATTTTTTAAATATACTCATGTCAGAGAGATACATGCAGGGTGTTGTGAGGCAAAACACCCCACAAAAACTGTTTGTTTTACCACTGTTTTACCATCAGAATTACATATAAAAAGATATGTGTTGATTCAATGGTTATTTTGGACAGTAAATATTATATTTATGCTGCAGACATTGTGACCCCTGGTTCCTACCACCACTGTAATTATTCTCCACAATGCACCAATTATCATCAAAACACTCTGAATAACTTTGTTAACATAATTTTGAGAAATCTGTCGAATCCTCTTCAAAACTAGTTTGAATCTTGTTACGCGGCTGGTCACCTGGTGTGCCTCGAGTAGCTTGGGCAGCTTGTGTTCACCATAATACATTTTTTGTTTCTTATAGTTTATTCAGCAATCCTGATAAATAGCGTTTTAGCCTAGCATGTGCCTTACGGTTCCCTAAAATGAGCTCCATTTAATGAAAATATAGCATTGCTTGGACAAAAGAGCTCTGTAGTTGAACTTTTCAGACCTTACCTGAGAATGAATCCTGATTAACGGGGTCCATATCACCAGTGGCCTCTCCACGTTCGATACTTTCCTCATGAGTATTTTCAGAAACTGGTGTATTTGACTTGAAATGAGAACTTGTCATAAGAGCAGTGCTGGCTGTCAATGCTTTGACTTCTCCGCTGTTACACCGAGCGACTTCTGCTCCCAGGCTAGAGCCGTGCTGTTGGGATGAATATTGTGCGGCTGCTTGGCAAGTTTTGTTTCCCGGTGCTTCGTGCTTCAATTTGGAGCTGTCTTTGCTGCACACAACTCTCTGATTTAGAGGTTTGTATTGGCATACCGTGTGGGCTAGCACACTTCCTGAGCTCATTTGTCGCACAGTAGCAGAAGAGGTGCATGCTAATCGACATGATTTGGTTTGGCTTGGCTGAACTGTATAGAGCAACTCTTCTTGGCTTGGCACAGTTGTTGAGATGGAGGCCAGTGGGGGCAGGAGTGCCTGAGAGACACGTGATGTTTCTGCTTTTGTTTGTATTGTCTCTCCATCTGTAGCCGATATAAGATGAGGAGAACTGTGCTGTTCAGGAGTCTTTAGTAGAGGCTGAGGATCTGAGTCTATTATTTTGGATGTGTCTGAAACTTTCTCCTGTGCCAGCACAGGTCTTCTCTCTGTGGATGTTTCAGGCTTGTTGAGATTTGTCATAGATGTGTCACTTGTTCCTTGGCTTGCGGTGTCTTTGCTCCACTTTGCTCCACAACTTTGTTCCACCGTGGGTGCAGAGAGGTGTGTCAAGACCCGGTCGTGCACAGAAGAGTTGCTAGGCTGTTCAGAGGTGAGTTTGTGAGATGAAAGAAGCTCACTCAGGCTCTCACCAGGCCTTTGTTCAACACACAATCCAAGGGTGATGGGACACGCGGCAGGCTTAATATCTTTCGGAAGATTGCCGTCCTCACATGCTGCACTTATCAATTTGTGCTGTTGCCCTAATGCGTTTGCGCTGGTGTCCAGTGGTGCTGAGATATGGTGCTCTGTCTTTGAACCTGAACCTGAACTTGAAATAACCCCTTTAGGGCAAAAATCGGTTAAATAAGTATTTTGAGGAGATAAATAAACGTTTTTTGAACTCTTTGCCTTATTTGTATCTGTTGATCCAACTGAAATTGATGTTATGTCTGGAATTTTGGTGAGCGTGTTCTGGTTTACATTCCTATGTGCCACACACACTTCAGTTCCTGTGTCACCAGGACATTGTTTATGTATTCCCTGTGAAACACCTGGAATTGTTTCTGTCTGCAAAGTTTCTGTCTCCTTGCTGAGAAAAGAATGACTCCCGTCCAGCTTCAAAATGTCCTGTTTTTCAATCTGTGGTTCTATCAGAGCTAACTGCTCATCTGAAATGAGTTGCATGACAATCTGAAGGTCTGCTGTTCGCACATAAAATGTGTCCTGAGCCAAGGCCTTTGAGTCATTCACCAATAACATCTTGCCTTCAAACTGGGCTCCCTGGAAGGCAGTGTGGCTCAACCCCAGTGGGATGCCATCTGTTGCGCTCTGACATGCTGGGGCATGTGTGTCCAGTGGAGGTCCTGGTGGTTGCCTTGAGACGACTACAGATGTAGCAGGATTGTTTTGTATTACAGACCCTGTAGTCGCTGTATAAATCTGTATGGGTTTTGTAGATGTAGATGTGTGACTCAGTGATGAGTCCATGCTGTGAACCATGACAGATTGATTTTGCCCCAAGGCTGTGAAAGTCTGAAGAGGCTGACTCAGAACTGATGATATTGAAGGCCCTGACTTGCTGTATGCAGTGCCCTGATGTTGTGTCAGCACGTTAGCATGTTTGTTCTCTGGAATAAGTGAAACCAGCGTTGGTGTAGCCGAAGTGACTGAAGTTGATGTGTAGATACTAGGCTGAGATTGTGTCTGTGCTTTATTAGCATTCTGCCCTATACATGCACCAGATGGGATGGCTGTGGATTTTGTCTTTGTTGTGGCTGCTGTAGACAAAGTAACTTCCTGTTCCTTTGCAGAGGACATCATTGTTGAAGATAACTGACACTGAAGTGCAGATGATAAACTCGTTTCAGAATCGCACTGCTGGGCAGATTGATGGCTTAACTTAGGAGCCTGCCTGGGTGAGGGCTGATTCAGTGAAGAACGACTGCAAACACCAGAATCTGACGCTCCATCTGTAGAACACGGTATCTTCAGCTGGTACTTGGGAAGAAAGCTGGTCTTGGCTTGAGAAACAGAGGAGATGCTAGAGGAGGCAGAAGGAGACCCAGATGTCCCGCTCACACTGGCCGCAAAAAGAGGAGAGCTGTGCCTCTTGTAAAGGAGCTGTGTCTGATTTGAAGAAGATGGTCTGCAGAAGCTGCCTTGTCTGTGAAGATTTAACCTGTTGTCCTTTTCCAGTGCAGTTATGCTGGATGTTTGAAAAGCATCGCCACATACTGATTGCAGTGATTGATTGATTACGTCCGGTAGGCTGGCATTTGCCTGTCCGCTTCCGGAAGTCAATACACCTTGCTGCCGCATTAGTGTATCCGCATTTTCCATCATGACGGAAATATCGTCCTCTGTTTTCTGTTTCTTCCTCTCTGAAGGAATAGGACTTGAAAGTTGAGTTTCTGGTCCTTTGCTTTTTTCCTCTGTGCCTTTCATGAAACCTGTCTCAGTGTTCAAGTTGGAGCTTGGAACATTAGTCTGCTTGTCCAAACCATGCTGCAGAAGCCCAGTTTGTTTCGCCAAAGGACTTTGCAGGAGTACATACGAAGAAATAACCTGACTGGATGTCTGTGCTGTGAGTACGTTAACAGCAGGGGTCAGAGACACAGCTGGGCAGGAAGTAAAGCTTACAGATGCAGATGAATTGCTATCTCTCTGTTGGCTTATTTGAATCCCCTGGCTTTCTGTTTGCTCCAGGCTAAGTGTAGCCTTTCTACTCTTCAAGAGGCTGTCTTTCTCTGTGTTGTAGAGCTTTCTGAATGTCCCACCTCCATACATGTACCATTTATTATAGGCAAATTTCTGTGATTTCTTCCTACGGCATCTTTTGCCCCCTGACTCTGTTGAAGTGTCGCCACAGTCTCCATCTGAACTGAGACTACTGTGATTGCCCCTCTCCACTGAAGATCCTTCTGCTACAGATAGGCAGTCCACCGCTACCTGTCTGACCAGTGAGCGATGGCTGGGTGCGTGTTGATCTACTGACTTGAATGGGTAGATATTTCCTGCGCTACACCTCCTGCTCAGGGGGATGCTGTCTCCTTGAAAAGACGAAGCTGTTCTATCACTGTTCTGTATGCCCACGCTAAATGGCAGAGAGCTGCTCCGTGTTAATGGTGCATGCTCCAAGCTTGTGGAGTGCTGTGTAGGCACAGAGCTGTACATAGTCCTACCTCTCCGATCTTGCGTTTGCAAACCGGAGACTTGGTGCTTGCTGCTTCTCATCTCAAAATGGAATGAGTCTTTGTATGTATAAGGCATCGGAAGATCAATGCTGCCTTGTTTCGACAGCACAGTCTTCCTCGGACGCACATTCACCAGGTGTTTGTCGTCCACCAACACGCTGTTTTCCGATATCAGTTTCAAGATGTGCTCCTCTAGCTTTTGTTTCTCTTGAACGGACACATTGGTTTTGGCGTCATCAGTGGCCACATCGGATAGTTTCTTGGAGTTTCCAGGTTCCTGCAGTTCCATGCTAGACTCAGGCAAAGACTCCATGCTGGGATCATGCAGAGTATCTCCAGGGCTGGAAGTTGAGGGCTGTTCACTGCTTTCACTAAAGCCTGAGTCTGTGCTGCCATGGCTTTGAGACTTGCCTCGGGACAACTTGGAAATGACGGCCTCCTGCCTCTGAAGAGGAGTGCGATTTGGAGTCAGTGGAGCATTTCCATCCCCAGCTTGGCTTATTGTCTGTATGGAAGCGGCCTCATTTTTGGCTTCAGATGCCAACTGCACCCTCTGGCCACCAGAGTTCAGGATCTCCTGCTGTCCATGCGCTGGTGAAGCAACAAGTCCAACCACTGCAGCTTTACATAAAGCCCACTCTGTGTCAGATGCTGTCTTCTCTTCTGTTAAAGTAGCCTGAACTGAGCTGAATGTGGTTGTTGTTACAACAGGTAGGACACTGTCGTTCTTGTTTATGTCACCTGAGTCTTCACTTTGTAATTCCAGGGAGGGACTGGAGCAAGTGTCTCTTAAGCTGTCTGTGCTCTCTTGGCTGCTGAAGTCACCTTTCCCTGATTCGCTGGAGAGACGAGCGTGGGCTTGGGTCCGTTTGTGCTTGTAGAGGTTGCTTTGTGTCTTGAAGGAGATGCCACAGGTGGTGCAGGGATAAGGCCTCTCCCCGGTGTGGCAGCGGAGGTGCTTCTCCAGCACGCTGGGTTTCAGGCAGTCCCGTCCACAGTGTGGGCACACATGTTTCCCTGCAGATTTGGGTCTGGGTGATGATGCCGGAGTTTCAGGCCTCTGCTGCTGGACAGTCGCTCCGCTGGCTATGTGCAGCGTCAGAATGGGCAGGGCCTGGTTGGCGCACATCATCGGCATGGGCAGAGGGATGACCGCTGCATCCTGCATGGCTGTTGGCTGAGGCTGAGGGTATGTTGGCAGGCCAGGCATGGCTTGGATGTACATGGCTGTCAGTGGGGCCTGCACACGCATCTCTTTCTCCCTCTGCATGGAGACCGAATGCTGAGGCTCGGCAGCTCTCACAAAGCCTTGCTTGCCAGTTGCCATGGTAACAGCGCCCTCGTGATGTTAGGAGACCGAGCTTTCTAATTACCTGCAAAAAGGAAACACAGTTTGCATTAGGCCTCTGCTCTGCCGGATCAAAGAATTCCTCCCCCCGCTGTATGAATAGGAATGCAAGTAATGTCATGAAACCAGCTTCCAAATAATACATTGTGTATATCTTATAAGGAGTCAACATCATTACAAAGAACACAAAAGGTTTCAAGGAGTACAATGCACAAAGCGAAGAGCGTTTTCTTTTTGTCATGCAGAGCTTCAGCATGGACAGAAAAAGCTTATCAAAGCTTATCAAAGCTTATCGATCACACAGTGTGATCTAGTAAGGATAAGTGCAGCTTGCCAGTTTAACTGTGTTGTGTTGCACAGCGGCAGGAAGCCAGAAACTTGTGAATGTGAACTCACAGTGAAAAGTGCACTGAAGCTACAAGTCAGGAAGAGGCCTGAACTGAGGGGCTAACGAGAATCTCTCATTTGCAGTAAACACATCCTTGCTATTTGCATACTGCAGAAACATACAGAGATGTAATCAAAAGCAGTGCGGTATAGCTCTGACTCATCTTGACACCAAGAAGAGTACTGGGGTCCTCTTTAAACTTGAGCTAGCTTGTGTGAGCATTTGTATTATTTGTTCAACAAGATTAACTTTCACTTCATTACAGCGAAAGACGTATTTCTCCAGGTAGTACAAACGTAAGGTTTGTTTAATGCCATAAATAAATCACTGGGACTGATTAGGGATATTTATAACATGCTCCATATAATCAAACAAGTATTTAACCTGAATAGCAAAATAGTGCAAATGATTGTAGTTTAAACACAAATACATAAATTGGCTACATGCTACTTTAAAATATATGAATTAATACAAAAGGGAAACAGAATAAAGATATAGGTTTAGGGAAAGTATTGACATGTTGGCTCACTCGCGACTTGGATTTGCCCTTATCTGGCTCACAACTGGATTTAGACTCGAGGATTTAGACAAAGACTGCAGGATATGCAGCATTTAAAGGAGTGTCAAACTCAACCACTAAAAGGGCCACATTAACCTTTTCAACTCCTTGAGACCACCGGTGGTTCCAAAACGCACTTCGTCATATTCTTCATAACTTTCATATTTCATAAGCTACATTCTAAAGGTGGGAGTCATCTGGGAGCTGTAACTGTCTTCTTTCCAGTCAAATAGATGGGTGATGTAATTTTAAACCCTTATAATAAAAGAAGCTGAACTCACAATTTTTTTGTACTGAAAGTCGACCCATTTTTCCACAAATCTGGGCTATAAACTATAAACAGATGGCGTCTCTTCAGTGATCTGCTCTGTAAAAATTACTTTTATAAAATAATACAAAGAGCATCTAAGGTTTTTGGCTCTCAGCGGTAAATTGTATAGCAATATGTGTATGATCATAAAACACTGTTAATTTGAGGGGAGCTTTTACAAAAATAAATAAATAAATAAATAAAATAAAAAATAAAATTTATTTCATGCAGTTACTGAATAATTTGCCTTACAATTTGGTCATGTAAATTCAGATGGACAAACCAAAATATACCCTGGCCAATGACCTTACATGAATACTTAAAATATTCAAAATTTAAATGCCTCATGTTTGTTTGAACTAGACACCAGGCATCCTCTCTTTGCTTCATGTTCATTAAGACTTACTGAGCTGCTGAGCTAACGTTAGCTGTAAATGAAGCTAGTGCGTTTGGGGGTATGACTGGTGTGGAACTGTGTATGATTGTTAATTGTTTATATTAATATAAAATTAAAGTACTTTCACAGGCTGGATAGGATTGTGTCTTGTATTGGACACAATGGCATTTAAAGGAATGAGGCTGAACAGTTTCAAAGGTTGGCTAGCATGTTTGAATAGTAAGCATGCTAGCTAGCACAGTAGCTGCTAATTTAGCTGCAGTAAAACGTACTGATAGATTTGCTATGACGCTAGCCAGCTAGCATACATGCTGTACAAACTACAGTTAATAACTGTTATAAAGTTGTTTTGATTCTTTTCCTTTAAATGCTGCATTTACTGTGTTTAGCACTTCAGTTCTGTCATTCAGGCTGTTTTTTTGTACAATGAAAGGCTCGTTATTTGAAGCTGTATCAGTCCTGTCAGGTTTTAGTAAGGATTTACTTTTACGATAGCAGTTCCTGCAGTTAATAACAAGACTAGATGAAAATTCTCTTGTAAAGACTCAAGACTTAAACCTTAAGAGTCCTTTACACTGTGATATCAACACATCAGGACAACAGAAAATACCATTAGTGACTACTGGACACCACTAAGAACCAACAGAAACTTTTAATTTTTTTATTTTTTTATTTTTTTCAGCAGGGCTCACACCCTAGAGATTTGAGACTTGACTTTAACTTGCAGCCCAGCGACTCAGCTCAGACTTGCGTGTGCCTTGTGATCATCTCTGGTACACTGTCTACTAAACTTTCCTTAAAATGCAATAATACATTTGCTAAGAAGCCTTTTTAGCCTTGTAGTTCCGTCCATAGTTCTGCCTACATGACAGGGAGACCGAGTGATTAGGTCTCCACTTCTAAATAAAATGATCTGTCTATTCATTTTTCTATTCCAGCCACTCCATTAGCTCATTTCAGCCTCTCAAGCTACATGTCTATTAAGGTCTCGATGGGATTTCAATTTAAATCTTTAATCTCCACTTGCTGACTCAGCCACAATATAAGAGCATCTTTGACAAGCTGATAGTCTGCCACAGTATTAACAAAATAAAAGAATAAAGGCTCAAATACCTTCTTTCACATAACATCTCTAAAGAAATCTATGTGTTTAGCAGAACTGACAAGTAATATGAAATAATTCTAGATATTGCTTGTTAAGCCTTGATGCATTGCTTAGTTCACAGGGCATTTGTCTTGATTCTTACTCCCACTGTGAGACTTACAATGCACGACGAATGTTGCATGAATGCATTCTGCCTTATACAGCAACCAAAAAGCAACTCCAAAGATTCCACTGTCACCATGTATCTCTCTCAAACGCTGTCTCTCTTCCTTTAAACCACCCCTGCTTGTGAAGGACTTCCCTATCGCCAGAGCTCACGGAAAGAATTCAGTGTGACTAAGGGGTCTGAGAGCAAAGCGCACAAAGACAATTGCAGGTTACTCACCAGAAGTGCACTTGTTGGAGAAGCTGCTCCAGCGGAAAGTTGCCTGCTTATATCCACGTGCTGAGGGAATCCATGGACCGGCCTAGGAGAAGCAAGAGGACACTTAGGGACCATAATACGAGGGTGACACTCTTTTCTGCCTGAGGCCCTGTTCCTCTTCTGGTTTTGTTTCAGCCGTTTGCGCTAGTGATGGAGGAAATACAAAACGTCATTCATGCAAATGGGAGTGGATGATGGCGATAACACAAAGTCAAATGCAGGGAGAGAGAGAGAGAGAGAGACAAAGAGAAAGACAGAGAGAGAGAGAGAGAGAAAGAACAGAAGGCATGGACAGTGACTAGACTTTGAAGCCAAGCTGCTCAGGCTAAAAAGATCATGCAAAGAGATGCAGAACCAAAGGAGGACAGAGTGGAACAGACTGACGGTCACTGAGAGACAGCAGATGGGCAGGGATGGAGAGGGGGTGGACGGAGAGAATAAAGAACCGAAAGTGACAACAAAATCCATGTTCAAAAGAGGAAGTGCGCTCACATGCAGACTTACCTCAAACTGAACATTTCGCACACACACATGCACACATCCGCTAGCAGCCTCACTCGGCGCTGTTACTCAGTCAGTACCTGACTTCTGGCACTGGCTCTATCTTACTCCCTCAGTCATTCACACACCCACACTCCCACACACACACTCACACACAAGAGAGGAGAAGTGTAGCCATGTGTGGGTGTAGAACATGCGCGGGTGTATTTTTTTCTCTCTTTTTTTTCTTTCTGCCTTTTTGTTTTTCTGTTTTTTATGTGTCAGAAACATAACAGTGAATGATTCCAAGGCAATGACTCCAAGTCCAACAGTCAGCCTTCCATATAAAGTCTGAAGTTACATCCTGAATCATATAGCATAACTATAAATCTGTCAAGTGAAACACAAAGAAAGTAGAAAGAGAAAGCAAATATCCTCTGTTTTCAGACCAGTGACTTTCTTTTAAATCAGTCACTCAAGTTATTCATTTTTCAGCACTGGGAGAAAAAAGCAGAAAACATTTTCAAGAAAACGACACCTCAGCAACTAAATATAAAACATTCTCCAGTATTTAATGTGCCCACCTTACAGCTGTTTTCTCCTTCTGAGACCAGCTTTCAGTTTTTCAAAGAATCCTCCAAAGTTCAGTCTTAGAAGTTGGTTGCATTTTCTGCTACTCATGATGTAAGTAATTCCAAACATATTCAGTGATGTTGAGGTCCGGACTCTGGGGTGGCCAGGCCGTTGTTCTGAGATCACCAGCAGCTTGTTTGATTTGCACATGTTCTTCTGTCTATTTCTGTCATTTATTCCCTTTTCTCAGTGAGGTTCTTCTTGACACCTACACATCCTTTCAGACCCACAGCGCTGAGTCGTCTTCTCACAGTGGAAGGATGGACAGAAACACCTGTGGATGTTTTCAGATCTGAAGCAGCTTGATTTTCTCCTCTCTCTCAGAGATGAAAGCTTTAAGTGCTGTTTATCTCAAAAATAAATAATGGTCATTTTGAATGGAAATTGAATCAATGAAGAGTGGTGTCTGACATGTGCACAGTACTGTATATACATAAGAATTGGGTTCTGTAACAAAAACAAAAGTAAAAGCCACACCCTGCCCTGGGGTGGGTGGGGGGTATCATGGCCTCTAGCTACTCTAGCTTTGTTGGCTACACTTCACACTGTTATATGAATAATAGTGGATGGATAATAGTGGCACAAGAAAAGTCTATACATACATATATATATATATATATATATATATATATATGTGTGTGTGTGTGTGTGTGTGTGTGTGTATGTATATATATATATATATATATATATATATACTTTCACAGGCTGGATAGGATTGTGTCTTGTATTGGACACAATGGCATTTAAAGGAATGAGGCTGAACAGTTTCAAAGGTTGGCTAGCATGTTTGAATAGTAAGCATGCTAGCTAGCACAGTAGCTGCTAATTTAGCTGCAGTAAAACGTACTGATAGATTTGCTGTGCAAACTACAGTTAATAACTGTTATAAGTTGTTTTGATTCTGTTCCTTTAAATGCTGCATTTACTGTGTTTAGCACTTCAGTTCTGTCATTCAGGCTGTTTTTTTCTACAATGAAAGGCTCGTTATTTGAAGCCGTATCAGTCCTGTCAGGTTTTAGTAAGGATTTACTTTTATGAAAGCAGTTCCTGCAGTTAATAACAAGACTAGATGAAAATTCTCTTGTAAAGACTCAAGACTTGCACTCCCTGCTGAGAAAAAGACCATTTGAACCATTGGATTTTCTTTCTAATGGGAATTGGCACATGTTAAACCTTAAGAGTCCTTTACACTATGATATCAACACATTAGGGCAATGTGTGTGTGTGTGTGTGTGTGTGTGTAGGGTGATTCAAAAAGATTAATTTGTAAATCATTACAGAGTAATGCGGTAAATGGTTTAAATGAGCATAAAGTTTATAGTGTAATTGTACAAGGTCTCAGTATGAACCTCCTCCAGCTGTACAGACATCAACACCATAGTCAAATTCATCCCATACTTGATTGAGCATGTTGGGTGTCGCTGCACTCACGGCTCTTTCAGTGCGATTTCGGAGAACGTCCAGTGTTGTGGAACCAGCGACGAACGCAGTCAGAAACTCTATGACCCCCTCTTTCAATTGGATTGTGATTGGTTCCTCACGGTTGTAAAAATATGGTGCTTTGAAATATATATATATATATATATATATATATATATATATATATATATATATATATAGTGTTTTGGTAAGCATGTACAAAGTGGTGATTTTTACCCGTCTCGAGATGAGTTTATATGTGAGTTTTACGTCTACAGCTGTAATAATGTAATAATTATGTAATTGATATAATCATGAAAACTAATGATTTAACAAAAATACCATTTCTGATGTTTCTGTTTTACTGTCATTTGTTTTTTGTCACTGTATATTAAAATAAAGTTGAATCATTAGGACATACATTTTTTTTATGTTTTTTATGTTAATAACAGATTTTTGGAAAAAATGCAAAGACAAGAAATTATTTGAAATCTAATTATATATTCTGGAAAAATGTGAAACTGATGCAGGATTCTCAAGTGGGGCCTTACCACAGGTAGCGGGTAACACACAAAGTTCTTTAGAAAGTTTGCTTATGCTAACTTATTGTTTTACAGTAGTTTTGAGATGATCCATTTATGGTGGAGAGGGATGAGCAGGGCATTCTAAGGCTAAATAGTCTCCAAAGAAAACATGATCTCTGGTTCCCATCACCACCACTGTGAAGTTTCTCTGCAAAGCACCATTTCAAAACCACTCTGAATGACTTTGTTCAAAGAAATTTGCAAAAATTAATGGAATTTCTACAACTAAGTTTCAATGTTTCAGTGTTTTCATGAAAGACAAGTGAGAAACCCTCAGAAGACACAGAAAGGTGTACTTTTTTTCCAGTACAGTATTGAATTTGTTACATGCTTAGTCTGCATTAGAGCTTGGTCGAGACACTGCAACAGCAAGAAAACAAGCAAATTACATTGTCATTTTTATTCATTGTAGAAAAGCCCTTTAGATCCTCATCAGGCCACGTATTCCAGCAGGCATCAGTGGACTTCAATTAACATTCCAGGCCTCGTCTCTATTCAGTGTTTTCTAGCTACAAGCATCTGCGATCTGATTAAATTCTTACCTACGGTGTCTTTAGACAGCATTGTGCTGCCTTTTCATGTGGAGAGCGCTCGTTTGAACTCTCGAGGGTTTTCAGCTTCACTGGAAAGAACTTCTTTTCTCTTTCGGCAAAGGGGGTATTATTCAAATTCCGCGGAGCTCCCGCTCTCTGACTGCCGCGATTTATCACTTGATTTACAGGAACTCTCACCCCCACAGCACTTGATTCACCGACTATTTTGATCACAAAACCACACATGATGTGTTTATGTAACGCAACTGGTGGTTTTGTTCGGTAGACTGACAAGTATGATTCATTTTGCTAACGTCACTCCACTTTACAGAACCGGCAGTGAGTAGCCAGTTTAAATGTTTTAAGTGGCACATTTAATAGGCTGATGGTAGATTTCTTCTCTAAGATAAGGTTTCTTTTCAGTGATAACTGGGCCTAAAAGAACATCACACCTTTCAAAACCTATCAACAGGGAAAAGACCAAAAAGTCACAAGCCTATTTGGAACAGCCATCAAACAAACAAACAAACAAAAGCAAGAAATGAGTTGCTCGTGATGAGATTCGATGAGAGGGCCTAGATCCTTTGGAGTTTTTTGTCTCCAAGGCAACGCCGGACGAATCCTCCAAAGAGACGAGGGTTCATGTTGGCATGGTAACTGCGATCATCTCAAAGCTTGTACATGAAGTCTACTTTTGGCACCAGACACAAGTCAAGAGAGTCCGCTGCCAGCCATTGATCGTGATCAACCTAATGCAGCGAGCTAACAAAACAAGCTCAGATGAAGTGACTCGCTCTCCAAAGCGATCTACGGGCCATCCTGCCGCTTGGTGCGGACACAGCACCTCCTCGTTAAGGGCGGCTTTGTGTGGTTGCAGCCACATGCAGGAAGTGAAAGACTCCCAGGGAGCCTATGTGTGGGCGGGTGTTGTTGTGATGCTGACTGTGGAGCCATGCGCGACACTTTCTGCTCTGCCATCAAAACTTTTTGTTTTCCAAAACAGTTGCATGGAAGAAGACATTGCCTCTGACAGCAGGGGCACTTACTGGGACTTGCAGCAAAACAACAACACTCTAGTGGGCTATTTTTGTCTGGGTTCAATCAAAATGAAAAAGCACAATACGCTGTTATTGTTGCTCATATACACTTACTATGCATGTCCGAAAGTTAGACACCTGCTCGTCCAGTGTTTCTGCTGAAATCAAGGGTATTCATTCGAAATTTGTCCCCTCTTTGTTGCAGAAACAACATCTACCCTTCTGGGAAGGCTTTACCCTAGATGTTGGAATATTGCTGTAAGGATTTCATTGCATTCAGCCACAACAGCATTAGTGAGTTTGGGTACTGATTAGTTCATCCAGAGGTACTTGTTGGAGCTCCACCACTCCAGAGAGCGCAGTTTTACCGCTCCATAGCCCAGTGCATGATGACTTTAGGCTCATTTGTGGCGACTCCAGAGCCTCCCATTCTATCGGCAATGCTTTTCTATGGAGGTTAGACAAGCTGTGCACAATTGGAGTGTGTGCTGGGTGTGTTGGGTGTGATCAGTGTGTTTTTGCAGAACAGAGTGAATGAGGGATGATACTGTGTAATACAATGGTTAAGACAATATCATTGCGCACATTAACACATGGTAAAATATAGCATGGATATTTTATGTAGTTAAAC